TGTGTGTGATTTGAGGTTGTTTAGACTTTGAAGGTTCAAGTCAACATTTCTTCAGCGAATTATAAATGTTGTAGAAACGCATGTGACCTTTAATGCTTAACGCTCTAATATTTTTCGGGACTCGAAGCTACATGAAATTGTATATGCAACATTTGACATAATCTCATGATGATAATGTTCCGCTGTTCGCAGTGAAAAAAAATTAATTTATTTAATAAAAACTACTACCATTTTTTGAAGAGATTGTTTTGATGCTCATAATTATGTCTCATTTTGTCTAATAACAGAAATAATCATGGAGCAATAGAGACTAGATTTTGGATTATTAATATTTGGGAGTTAAATCACAATTTCTGCAAAAACTTTACGTTATGTGGGATTGACAATTATTTTTATACTCGCTAAGATCTGAAAATCCTGTTATTCCACATCCTTTTATTTTGAGGTTTTCTCATTTTTGGCGCCAAGAACTATCAAATTGATTTCCACTTCTCTGAAAAATTCATTTTCTAAATTAGGATCTTAATCCTGTGAATTTTCTCACTCATTGAAGTCCTGCTATTTTTCCTATTTAATGATGGTTTGTGAGAAGAAAATTGCCTGACTGACAAGTCAAAAATGACCACTAATTTATATTTTCGTTATGTAGTTATTCATGTTAGTTTACTTAGACAGTGAACATATCGATGTTCCTGTCTCTGTGAGCTGCTTTCATATTTTGAGTTACTCTCTTCATACTTCAGATTAAAGGATCTTAGAATCACTGCACATTTTTAAATTAAACAATTTTTAACCAATGATTATGGGTTTTATCCTCTTATTATTCTTAATCGATAAGTTTTTGCGTTCCTTAGCCCCTTTGTCTGCATTCAGGTTGTCCCCCTGCGTAAGTTTGGTCTTTTTGTTGGTCATACTCGTACTTGTATTCTGGGCGTCTTAAGCTGACGATAAAGCTGGTCTCCATGGAATCGTCCTATTATTAATTAATAACATGTTATTCAGTTTGGATTTCGTCTTTTACTTAATTCGACGAATCACAGTTACATGTCAGCAAATATTTTCAACATTCCGAATACTTACTGAAAAGAACTGATGAAAATATATTTATGATGAAAACAGAATGAAAAATATATAATGAAAATAAAGATTCGGCCTCCTTCAGAAATTTCGGTTGAAATAGATCCTTTATCGTCGAAAGGGGTCGATGTTATCTCTTTACGGTCAACATTTATTTCACCTTCTAAAGATATTTTTTTATAGTTACCTTCAGGCTTCAATTAAGGTAGTGGTTAGTGTCCCCCAGGTAGTGGTTAGTGTCCCCCAGGTAGTGGTTAGTGTCCCCCAGGTAGTGGTTAGTGTCCCCAGGTGAGTGGTTAGTGTCCCCAGGTAGTGGTTAGTGTCCCCAGGTAGTGGTTAGTGTCCCCAGGTAGTGGTTAGTGTCCCCAGGNAAGGCAGTCCTTATTAAGGTCTGTCTCTTATACACATCTATTGAGAAATCTTGAGTTTTCTTTTTTCAAGACACCCAATTTTGTACCTGAAAACAAAATTCAGTCAAATTCCTTGAACTGTTCTGACGTGGGGCCGCATTGAACAAGTCTTCAGAGGCTCCCATAAACTCCAACTAAAGAAAGAAAGAAATTGGTTTGCTGGCTTATTCTTTCAACCAAACCTTAGCACTGTTTTCAATTAAAGTAGAAAACTCACATCGAGTAAGAACAATTATTCATATAGCAATCAGTGACGTGTTATTCAATTATAACTCCCACAGCTGTGTAATCTACGTAATCGGTGAAATTTGTCTCTGCAATCTACCACCGGGAGGAAGCCTTTTTACTTTGATACCTGGGACAATAATAAATATGCGCTTTCGATAATTTTAAAATAAGGTCCTTATTATTGAAACTGAAATAAATATATTTCAATGAATACGGTCATATTTGTCCGGCATCAGCGTTGAAAACTAGTGGATTCACAAGATTATTCATATCATGTTATTCACATTAATTTAGGAAGGTAGCATAGTTACATTTATAAACTGATGCAGTATAACGACTGCCGATCAAGAAACGGTCAAGGCATGATTTTTACAACATATCTAAAAAATTATTGATAGATTATTTATGAGAAGTTATTGCAGGGTCAATCTTGTATAGTAAAAACGCAACAGAATTAAGCAATGAATAATTTATTCGAAATTAATTCCACTCTCACAAGATTTCTACGGTACAGTAGCAATCGCCCTACCTGTATTCATGTTGATTCCTGTTTTTTTTCACGAATTTTTTTCAATCAGTCAATAAAATAGAACAATTATTTATATATTATTATTGTTGTTGTTAATATATTCCTTATATAGAACTCACTGCATTACACCTTACCAGGATCAAAGTTTCATTAAATAAATTCTTATCGTTGCTGCTTAACAGCAAGGATATTCAAAGGCATGAGTTAAACCGCGTCCTAAATTAACAGATCTTGATTCCGGTGAAAAATATTTCGCTTTAAAATGATATATTGATCTGAGAGCAACAAATTTATGTGCAACGAGAGCAAAAAATAAATGGCTACTCAAAACGAAAAATTATCCGTATGACGTGCCTAAAAAGAATTGTTTTCAAGTCATGAATATACTGGTACAATGGATGCAGGTTCTCGAGTCGAAGCTGTCGCAACGAGCTTACTTTAAAACCGGATTTGTAATTTTATTATTTTACGTGTCCATTAAAAAGGAAACATAAAGCTTATATAAAATAAATTTTCTATAAATAATTTCGCATTAGTTATTAGTGTGAAAGTAAAAATTTACCAAGATTTGATAATGTCGAATTGTTAAAAATTCACGGTTTGGAATTGAGTTTTTTCTCGAACATCTACACTTGCCAACCCTGGAAATTGATTTGAATTGCTAAAATTGCTAACTAAAAAGTAGAAAATAAATAAATATAAAAAATATGTTTAAAAACCACGTTTTTCTGGTTTTTACAAAACTAAAAGTAGTGAAATAAAACAAATAAAAAACTTTTAAAAACCACGTTTCCTTAACGGGCAAAAAAGAAAAACATTTACTCTTACATAACATTACATAACATTTTACATAACTTAAATGTTATGTAGGAGTAAATGTTTTTCTTTTTTGTCCGTTAAGAAAACGTGATTTTTAAAAGTTTTTTATTTGTTTTATTACCATGTTTTTCTTAGCTTCGTTTCTCGTCTATCTGTCTGTCATCAAAAATTCAAACCTTAATTTAGAGCACTTATGAAGATCATAGAATCTTGAAATTTGGCATGCATGCTTATGCTACCTAACACTTCAAGATTTGATTAATCAGAAATAATAATTGAAAAAAAAGTTAGAAAAAAATTACAGAAAACTAAAATTTCACGGTTCGGAATCGAGTTTTTTCTCGAACATCCAGACTTGCCAACCCTGGAAATTGATTAGAATTGCTAAAATTGCTAAACTAAAAAGTAGAAAATGAATAAATATAAAAAAACATTTTCAAAAACCACGTTTTTCTGGTTTTTACAAAACTAAAAATAGTGAAATAAAACAAATAAAAAAACTATTAAAAACCACGTTTTCTTAACGGACAAAAAAGAAAAACATTTACTCATACATAACATTACATAACATTTTACATAACTTAAATGTTAGTAAGAGTAAATGTTTTTCTTTTTGTCCGTTAAGAAAACGTGGTTTTTAAAAGTTTTTTATTTGTTTTATTTTACAATTGGAGCGTAGGATATAGTCTTGATGATTTTCTGCGAGTTCATATAAATAAATATTTAGGATTCTTCCTCGTTAAGAAAATAGTTAAAAAATCAATCATAATGCATTTGAAGAATTATTTATGTCCATGAATATATATATTCATAGATTCTATTTAATAATTTAGGTTATGACCTAATACACTACATAAATGTCCGCTCAAGCTTTATACCGTACAGCAATTACCTTCCTTAAATTATAAATTAAAATCAAAATGAACAAAACTACATGAACAAACAAGTAAAAACTACAATTTCTCACAACCAGAGTACCTTGACTTATTGGTAAAAAATACATAGTTTACCGTGCGACACATTCTATTGACTGATTTTCTTTAAAACTATAAGCAATGCACTACCAACATCCTTCATCAAATTAAATATCATTTGCACCGTAAACTGAAAAAACGAGTGTCTTTGACCCAGGCGGCAAGGTCAACCTAATCTTCAGCTATGAAGGTTCTAGCAATTCTTCGGCGAATTATTCAAGTTGTGTAGAGAAGCACTTGACGCATTCAATTTCATAATCTAAATTTTCTATGCCAATATTGCGTGCAAAGCGTGGAACAGCGTGAGTGCACAATTTGAGTGCGAAGTGGCATCTAGAAATGGTATATGGCCCACTCTGCCCAAATAAAGTAATAATACGACTACGTTATATTTTCATGTGAAAAATACTTATTGATGCGAGATATCCGTTAAATTGCACAAGTTACGTGGGACTAATATGAAATGATACATCGAATTTGTTCCATTTTTATGAGAAAATTTCTACTGATGTAATGTAAGCTGCTCAAATTTACAAAATGAAGACACTTGTAATCGCCTATACCATTATAGATCATACAACGTGATACCAATGTTTAGAAATCCAGTTTATTTCATAGTTTCATGAAGAAAATTAGCTTGGCTAAAAAGACTACAAATTGTAAGCGATTGATGCAGAGTATTATAATAGAATAATCATATGGTTGCAAACATAAATACTGAAAGTTTCATAGTTAAATAATGGATATTTCGAATGGAATAATGGTATCAAAAAATTGTTCAGTTATTTCCTTTCAGAATAAAATAGCAAATTGTGTAGTAACCGATACGTTTTAAGTCTCCTCAAGTGCATTTATGGCAACACTTCTCCAATAAGGTCAAATGTGCCATACACATGAGTGCGCTGTCACCGTCTCTTAATCTATAAAAGCCGCAGCATCGCCAGGACCACAAAGAGACGTCACAGGTCTACTCCAGGCATCAGGGTCCCTTTGAGAAGATTACGAAGTTTGCTTCCTAGTAACGTCATTGAGATGGCAAAATACATCCCAACCTTCTTCGTTGTGGCGATGATCGTCCATTCGCTGCTGGCGCATCCCCTGAATTTGGAAGAACTTGTACCTTCGGAGGAAAGTTCGATTATAAGTCAACAAGGTTCAACATATAGCCCTTTGGAATCGGATACCGGAAATGAAAACGAAGTTGACCTAAACGACATCATAATTTCGTTGAATGGAGCTGATAATAACGCCATCATAATACCGGAATTAGTTCGTCCCCTACTTCCGATCATAATAGGAGAGGGAATTAAAATTGTGGGGGGAGTAATTGAAAGAGCTCTAGGGTCTGGGAAGAAAGTACCAGTTCGAAAGCCTCCGAAGAAAGGGCAGAGAGAAGTGAAAAAACCTGTCAAGAAACCCGTTGGCTAAAATATATGTTCTCTAAAATAATAATGAGGTAAGTTTCTAGCAAATAGATTTCAATATTTATCCAACTTTCCTCTTTTTGGTAAGTTGATGAAACAAATTGTAATTTTTCATTTTCAACTACTAATAAGCATTATCAATCTTTCAACAATTAACAATCATCCTATATCTTTAATAAAATCATTTTTTAATAAATTAAATCACTTTAATCAGTTGATAATAAATTGATCAACGTTCAGATAAAAATAAAAACAGAAACAAGAGTATGCTAATTTGATTTAATATTAATTTAATTTGTGCCTGAATTGTTTCAGTTGCTGATGAACTGGAATGACTTCGCTGCTAATTGACCCATGGAGCCGTCAACATCACGGCGAACATCTTGGAAAGTCAACTAATGAAAATATTCCTAACAAAACTTTATGTTTAAGTTGTAACCGAATATATTTTTATGCACTACACATTGCATAATGTCCATGTTCTTCGGGTCATCCTACCATCAAATTAATTGCTCAACAATATTTTGCTATAAGTAGAAATAATTTATAAGTGGTTATTATTGTCACAATATCCGCAACATAAATCAATATGATGGTATAAATGACTATGTGTTTTAATGGAATGGTATCTTAATTCTTAAGAAGTCAAATAAAAATCCATTTTTCCGATTAACAAGATTACCTTATGACATCATAATTGATATTTTCCGTTTATTTTTCCGATCCGTGAAGACAATTTGATTTTCTTTGGTTAGAATAACTAGCTAGACTGGCGAATTTCAGTTAATTCATTTCAGTTGTTCAGTCGCACATTAAAAATATTATATGTGGCAAGAGTTTTTTTCAGTTTTCTAAACATCAGTGGCAAGACATGTTTTAGTTCATTAATGTTCATGTATGTGAAATTTCTTTCCTATAAATATATGTCTGCACCCAATTTCTTTCAATTCCTGAAATTTTGGCAGCGCTTGAAAAAAAAAACGATTTGTTTGCACATTGGAAAAATTACTTGATAACCTAATGTATATTAAATCATCACTACGACATTACGCTTTGTAATCGACATGCTTTGGTGGAAGTGGCCCTAGAAGACCTGCAATGCTGCCATGCAACACTCGATTAAACGGCGGGATTTAGCCTATCGGAACTTCTCAGCCCACAAAAAAATAAGATATAATCAGAATAAAAAATAATTTGAGAACTTAATGATGCGAATGTGGCAGTCTATATAATCTAAAGCATTGCCAATGAGCTCGGTCCCAAGTGATGTAATTCTCGAAGGCAAGTGCGTTCGCAACGGAGATGCAATGAGTTTTCATTGCTTATAACATGTTCAAAAATTACGGTGCCAAAATGTAAGCTATTTCCCCTATTTTATCCAACCCTGTATCTCCAACCAAATAATTTATATATTTGGATTTGGTTTAAATTATTTCTCTTCTTTAAAAACAGGAAAATTTCAATTCTAATACTTTAATAAGTTATTTAGCTGCACCGACCAGATTATTGAGAAACGAATTCTAATTTCATTTGTTGTCAAATAAATGAAGATAAAATGGCAACTCAAAGAGAAATGCAGAGTTAAGAGCAGGAGCACTCAGGCTGCATGTTCAATCCTCGCGAAATCCCAATTTGTAATGAATAAAATAATGACTGCCTTGTTCAGTTTAGAAGGTTTGCCAATGTTGACCAGAGCCCATACTTTCAAAAAAGTTAAGAGATCGTAAGTTCATCAGCCAATCATTGACGGCCTTTCAAGCAAAATCCACCAATCATAGACCAGAAAATAGAGCGTAAGTACTTACGTTCACTTCGCGAGTTTTGAAAGTATGGCCCCTGAGCACAACATGAGTCGAAAATGTGTATTCTGAACTAGGTGGTCACGGCGACCGACAGAAACACCTTATAGGTATTCTATTTTGCTTGCAGGATCGCTTCAGGTTCAAATTTTGAATTTTCAGTTGTTTACATTTCGGTACTTACTCGACATTTTCCTGCAGTGGATTTTAAAATAGACGCGGTTCATTCCGCTAGGAAATGTTAAGCTGAAATTATAAAGTTCTTGACCTCGGTTCAAAGGCTAATTCCACATTAACAAAGTTTAATATTAGGTTAAACTTCCCTCTCTGAGTTTTAATAAAGATTCATTATGTGAGACAGACATATTCTGCATACAATCAGTCTCATGCACATCCTAAACTAATGCTGAGCTTTGACAGCAAAGAAAAAACTCATAAGGTTTTCAGAGAATTCTCTTGAATTAAAAAGTCATCTTGTTAATCTGAAAAAAAATGTACGAAATGCAATATGAATTCAATGAGTAGAGCTGCAAAATCTACTGCTATGGTGTCTGCAAAATAGTATTGATTATTACAGAGCTGGGCAGCGCTACTTTGAAATGTAGCGGAGCTACCGCTACCGCTACATGCTTTAAATGTTGCGGGCGCTACCGCTACACCCACTAGATTGTAGCGGGCGTTACCGCTACCGCTACAGTAAAATGTAGCGCCGCTACATTAGCCACTACAGTGGCCAAAATTATTGGAAATCTCTAAATATTTATTGTTCTGCTATTGGGATTTACTCATAAACATTTAATGATAATAAAACATTGTCAAAACATATCAATGCAACATTATTGCAATTAACCAAACTGAAATAGTACGGGTTGGATACAGTTAACAAAAGTTAGTTATTTTTATGTTTTACCTTCCTTACATGGATGTCTACTTTAATCTACGAATCTCAAAAATTATCCACAAATACATATAAAAAATCAGTCTTTTATTTGTATATATATATGTGGTTAATTTTTGAGATTGGTAGATTAAAGTAGCTGAGAAACTAGTTACCTTTCTGTCAAAGACGGACATCATTGATAAGCTCTAAAGAACAATACCACAAGCTCTGACCAAAGCACCAGATGCCCAAGAAGGCTGGTGCTAAAAAATTCAACGAGTTCAACGAGTATTATGTATTGGAATTTCGCGAGGCTTGGACATGCGACCTGAGTGCTCCTGCTCGTAACTTTGCACTTCCCTTTGAGTTGCCATTTTATCTTAATTTATTTGATACAAAAATCAGTTAGAATTCGTTTCTTAACTGTCTGGTCGGTTCAGAATAAATAATTTATGAAAGCATTCGAATTGAAATTATACTGTTTTCAAAGGAGAGAAATAATTTAAACCAAATCCAAGTATATAAATTATTTGGTTGTATATGCATTTACATTACAGGTTAAATGCTACATTATAGCTATCTTACCTGAGGTAAGTTTATGGCATTAATTTGCCAACGAGACCAAAGATGTGCTTTGATTGAAAATTAAGCGAATATTATAAATTATTATCATTTATTTCGTGAGATATTATCTTTCATATCATTTTAAATTATGAATACACTAAAAAGAAATTGAAGCGTGCACCTTTAACATGCCGATAATAGGTAAACTGTAGTTGCGAGAATTTTCGAGGGCAACTCAGAGTTTTAAAGAATAGATACAAGTAATGTCACCCAATAACCATACATTAAGTTACTGTAACGGAATGGTAAAAATTTATTCATATCTCATGCTAAAAATGTTTCCATTTTCATTTAGATCTTTCCATACTTTAGGTTATGCAAACATCCGGGCTTCATTCATTCATGTTTTAGTTACGCGCTGGTAAGGACTACAGGGGCACAACGCAAATGTACAGACATGTTTTACTGAATATATTGTGAATAATCAGTGTTTTATATGAACTGAAACCTTTTCACGACCGTGTCGAGATACTACAATGGTAAAGAGGTAGTCCCCCAGCATTACAATTTCGTATCTCTTGACGTTTGAATTAAAACACGTGCATTAATTAATGTTGTTACATATTATAGATTGTTTTCAAGTAGAATAATCTGAACACCGCTCCTATATTTGTATGGAGGAGCTTGTCACTGCATAATTGTACCTAATCCTACGTCTTTGTGTCACTACTAAACGTCTGCACTTGTGTCTGAAAAAGCAACCATGATATATAAAAGTACGTACATATAGGTATTATCAGCAGACGAGCAATTTGAAGAGCGTTGTTATGGCATTCCTCTCTCCGAGCGTTTTTATTTTACTGTGTTGCAATGTTATTTAATATAAGTGTCATCGTTGTAACCTATTTTACAACTCTGCTAAGATTATAGTAAGCCTTCACCTACTGCGTTTGTATCTCTTGTTGAATCTTCGTTGCGAACGCACTTGCCTTGAGAGTTACATCAGTTGCGACCGAGCTCATTGCGACCGAGGTCACGAATTAAAAAAAATTGGGTGCAGACATATATTTAGAAGAGAGAAATATCAAATACACGTTAAAAATATCAAATACATATTAAAGAACGAAGACTTTTCATTGCCATTAATGTTGAGAAAAACAAAACGACTCTCGCCACAAATAACAAATTTAATGTGCGACTGAACAACTTAAACAAATTAACTGAAATTCGTCAGTTTAGCTACTTCCTCTAACCAAAGAAATTCAAATTGTCTTCACGGATCGGATAAATAAACGGAAAAAATTAATTATGATATCATAAGGTAATTCTGTCAATCGGAGAAATGGATTTCCGTTTGACTTCTTAAGAATTAAGATACCATTCCATTAAAATACATAGTATTTTATACCACAATATTGATTAGTTTTGCGGATATTGTGACAATGATAATCATTTATAAATTATTTCTACTTAGAACAAAATAATGTTGAGCAATTAATTTGATTGTTTTGGATGACAATGAACATAAACTTTAACATAAACATGGCCCGAAGAACATGGACATTATGCAATGTGCAGTGCGTAAAAATATATTCGGTTACAACTTAAACATAAAGTTTTGTTCGGAATCTTTTCATTAGTTGGCTCTCCAAGCAGATGTTTGACGGCTCCACGGGTCAATTAGCAGCGAAGTCCTTTCAGTTCATCAGCAACTGAAACAATTCAGACACAAATGAAATAAGTATTGAATTCAATTAAAGTAACATACTCTTGTATCTGTTTTTCTTTGTATCAAAACGTTTATCAATTCTAGGTTATTTTATGAGAGATATAAGACGATTGTACAGTTGAAAATGCTTATTTGTTATTGAAATTAAAAATCTGAATTTATTTCATCAACTTACAATTAAGAGGAAAATTGTTTAAATATTTAAAATTATTTCCTAGAAACTTACCTCATTATATTTCTAGAGCACGTATAATCTAGCCAAAGAGTTTCTTCCAGAATCTTTTCACTTCTCGGTACACTTTCTTTTGAGGCACTACAACAGCTTCTCTAATTACTTTCTTCAGGGCTTTCTCTACCTCTTTTATTATGGGCGGCGGTAGGGTAATTACTTCCTTGATGACGTCATTATCAGTTCCATTCAACGAATTTATGACGTCGTCTAGGTCAACTTCGTCTTCATTTTCGGTATCCGATTCCAAAGAGTTATCTGTTGAACCTTGTTGACTTATAATCGAACTTTCCTCCGTACCCGTGGGTACAAGTTCATCCAAATTCAGGGGATGCGCCAGAAGCGAATGGACGATCATCGCCACAACGAAGAAGATTGGGAAGTATTTTGCCATCTCAATGACGTTACTAGGAAGCAAAATTCGCAATCTTCTCAAAGGGACCGTGATGCCTGGAGTAGACCTGTGATGTCTCTTTGTGGTCCTGGCGATGCTGCGGCTTTTATAGCTCAAGAGACGGTGACAGCTCACTCATGTGTATGGCACGTTTGATCCTTTCCGAGAAGCGGTGCCATAAATGCAGTTAAAAAAATTAGGGTGCTTATACTTTTATCATCATAAACGCAACCATTAACATTATGTTGCTGGTCCTCTCATGGGAGAAATTTATTTACGCTTTATCGTATATAAATTTTAATTACAGGCGGACTAAAAATTGGACTACCTTAATAAGGACTGCCCTTATTCATTTACGGAACTGAATGTACTAGGTTAAAAAAAAAAAACTGACCAACCAGACCACGCTGGCTCTCAGACGGGACTAAACATGTATCGGTTAATACGGAATTTGCTATTTTATGCCGAAAGGAAAACACTAAACAATAATAGTTTCAGTTATTTGTTGTAACAATATTGAATGTTTCAGTATTTATGCATACAACCATATGATTATTCTATTACAATACTCTGCATCAATCGCTAACAATTTGTAGTCTTTTTAGCCAAGCTAATTTACTTAATGAAACTATGCAATAAACTGGATTTATAAACATTGGTATCACGTAGTATGATCCATAATGGTATAGGCGATTACAAGCGTCTTCATTTTGTAAATCTGAGTTGCTTACCGTACATTACATCAGTAGAAATTTTCTCAAAAAAATAGTAAAAATTTGATGTATCATTTCATATTAGTCCCACGTAACTTGTGCAATTTAACGAATATATCACATCAATAAGTATTTTTCGTATGAAAATATAACGAAGTCTTATTATTACTTTATTTGAGCCGAGTGGGCCGTATACCATTTCTAGATGCCACTTCGCACTCAAATTGTGCACTTATGCTGTTGCACGTACGTGAAGTCACGGACGGACAGACGGACAGACAGACAGACGGACATGGCGAGCACAATAGTGCATTTTTTCTATAAAGAGAAAATGCGCTAAAAACGGCCAAGTCCACAGATAAAAAGGACTATAATTCAAAATATTCTGGTAACTTTGTAGGCTCCGGTGCGAAAATTAAATTTTATTTCTATCGTACATTTTGGAATTTAATGCGGTAGTACTGCCATTATAAATTTTTGTCGATATATGCAATTAAAAAAAACTAAATTGCGGAATTTGTCAGGAAAAAGACTCTGTAACCCACCGTTGGGTCGTGTCTCACTTAACGACTACACAATGTGGGAAATGCAGAACTTTGAGCGATTTTTGCAGCCTATTGGGATCCAGTTTATTGCATAGTTTGTTGAAGTAAATTGACATGGCTAAAATGACTGAAAATTGTAAGCGAGTGATGACAAAGTATTGTAATAAAATAATCATATGATTGCAAACATAAATACTGAAACTTTCATAGTTAAATTATGGATATTTTAAATGGAATAATAGAATAAAAAATTGTTCAGTTATTTCCTTTCGGAATAAAATAGCAAATTTCGTAGTAACCGTTACGTGTTTAATCCCGACTGAGCGTCAGCGTGGTCTTCTTCTTAAATCAAAGTTTATGGGAGCCTCTGAATACTAGTTCAATGTGGCCCCATGACAGGACGGTTTAAGGAAATTACGGTGTTAGTAAGTAGCTCCTTCGCCGGCTCAACGCCTCGGAGCGAGACAGCAATGTACAGCATCCACGGGCACTTAAAATTTGAGAACGATGACGTGGCAGCCGGCTGAAGCCGGCTTTCGTCATGGGAGCTCAACACAGCACACCTTCCGCTTCAGCGGTCAGAACAGAACTCCGTCAGCGTGGTCTGGCTGGTTAGTTTGAACCTAGTACATTCAGTTACGTAGGTGAATAAGGGGAATTTTGAGTCCTCCCTGCAATTAAATTTTCACACAACTAGAGTACTAATTTGTGAAAATTAGTAGGTCATATACATTTGTTTACGTATAAACGATAGAGAGCAAATAAACTTTTCCCACGTGAAGACCATCATCATAATGGTAATGGTTGCTTCTAAGATACTAAAAGTATAAGCACAATAGTTTTTTTACCTTCTCAAGTGCATTTATGGCGACACTTCTCCAATAGGGTCAAATGTGCCATACACACGAGTGCGCTGTCCCAGTTCTGTTAAGCTATAAAAGCCGCAGCATCGCCAGGACCACAAAGAGACATCACAGGTCTACTCCAGGCATCACGGTCCCTTGAGAAGATTGCAAGTTTTGCTTCATATTAACTTCATTGAGATGGCGAAATACTTCCTAGTCTTCTTCGTTGTAGCGATGATCGTCCATTCTCTTCTGGCGCATCCCCTGAATTTGGAAGAACTTGTACCCTCGGGTACGAACGCTCAGGAAAGTTCGATTAAAAGTCAACAAGATTCAACAGATAACCTTTTGGAATCGGATACCGAAAATGAAGACGAAGTTGACCCAAATAACGTCATAATTTCGTTGGATGGAAATGATAATGACGGAGCCACGGGAGTAGTTGTTGCCCTACTACCGTACATTTTACCTGAAGTGAAAAGATTCATCAAGAAAATCTTTGGTTAGAATATATTTGCTCTAGAAAAGCAATGGGGTAAGTTTTCAGGAAATACCTTAGAATATTTAAACAATTTTCCTCTTACTTGTTAATTTGATGAAACAAAGTTTGATTTTCAATAACTATATAATAACCATCATCAACTGTACAATCATTTTATAGAAGCAATAACTTGGAATTGTTAAACGTTTTGATACAAAGAAAGGCAGAAACAAGAGTATATTACTTTAATTTAATTTCTTAATAATTTCATTTGTACCTAAATTGTTTCAGTTGCTGATGAACTGGAAGGACTTCGCTGCTAATTGACCCGTGGAGCCGTCAAACATCTGCTCGGAGAGCCAACTAACGAAAAAAAAAAATCGAACGAAACTTTATGTTTAAGTTAATTGTAACCGAATCTATTCTAAAGCACTGCACACTGCACAATGTCAATATTCTTCGGGCCATCCAATACCATCAAATTAATTGCTCAAAAATATTTAGTTATAAGAATAAATAATTTATAAGTGATTATTATTTTCACAATATCCGCAATATAAATCAATATTACGGTATGAATGACTATATGTGTTTTAATGGAATCGTATCTCAAGTCTGAAAAAATCAAACGAAAATCCATTTCTCCTATTAACAAGATTACCTTATGACATCATAATTGATATTTTTCTGTCCATATTTCCGATAGTTGGAAACAATTTGATTTTCTCTGATTCGAAGAACTAACTTAACTGGCGAATTTCACTTAATTCATTCCCGTTGTTCGGTCGCATATTACAATTATTACAGTTCAGTTGTTCAGTATTTAATTCAGTTGTTCAGTCGCACATTAAAATTATTATATGTGGGGAGAGTTCCCTAAACATTTTAATGCAATGACAAGCTTTAGTTCGTTCTTGTACATGTACTTGAAATTTCTTTCCCACAAATATATGTCTGAACCCAAATCTTTTCAATTCATGAAACTTCGGCAGCGTTTGAAAAAATGAAAGTATTTGTACATTGGGTGTGTACATTTAATTGTGTACATTACTGACGATTGGGTATGTACATTACTTAATGTACATATAATCGTCACTACGACAGTGCACTATGTAATCAACATGCTTCTTGAGTGGAAGTGGTTCTAGATGACCTGCAATTAATGCCATCATGCTACACTCGATTAAAGGGCGGGTTTTAGCCTGTTGTAATTTCTTTACGCACAAAATAATAAGAAAGAATGGGATTCAAAGATTATTTGAGAACATGGCGATACGAATGTAGATGTCCATATAATTGAAAACGTTGCCAATGAGCTCGGATTGCAATGCCAATGACAGCTAGATTGCCAATGAGCTCGGTAGCAACTGATGTAACTCACATTAAAGGCAGGTGCGTTAGCAACGGTGATTCAACAAGAGATACAAACGCAGCAGTTGAAGGCTTATTATTGTCTTAGAAGAGTTGTAAAATACGTCACAACGATGACCCTAATCTTAAATAACATTGCAACATAGCAACGCAGTGAAACAAAAACGCTTGGATAGAGGGAAACCAGAACAATGCTCTTCAAATTGCTCGTGTGCTGAAAATAACTATGCATTTATTTATATATGTCATGGTTACTTTTTCTGACACAAGTAGAGACGTATGGTTTAGTGATACAATGAAGTAGGATTAGGTACAATCATGCAGTGACAAGCTCCTCTATACAAATGTAGGAGCGGTGCTCAAATTATTCTACTTTAAAACAATCAATAATATGTAACTACATTATTGCACGTGATAATAACATTAATGCACGTGTAAACGCCAAAAGATACAAAATTGTAAGTTAATATGGGGTTATTGGGTGGCATTGCTTGCATATTTGTTTTAATTATGGGTTGCTCTTGAAAATTCTTGCAACTATAGTTCACCTATTTTTATTTGTAAAAAGTTTGTCATTTATAGGTCATTGGTTAGGATATAGACCAAAAAATTAACTGAAAATATCTGTGCAAGGATAAGATATCAATCAGCAGCAACACTAAACAATAAAAAATAAAAATATTTAACGTTTTCATTGTTTGTAACATGTTAAAAATTACGATATCTAAATGCCAGCTATTTTTCTCATTTTGTCCAACCCCTGTTTATCCAAATAAATACTTTATACATTTGGATTTGGGTTAAATTATTTATCTTCTTTGATAACAGGACAATTTAAATTCGAATACTATAATAAATTATTTAGCCTGAGCCGACCGGAAAATAATTAAAAATCGAATTCTAATTGTATTTTTTATCAACGAATGAAGATAAAAATGGCAACTCAAAGAGAAATGCAGAGTTAAGAGCGGAAGCATTCAGGCTTCATGTTCAATCCTCGCGAGATCCCAATTTATAATGAATAAAGTAATGACTGTCTATCAAGCTTCAAGGCTTGCCAGTGTTGATCAGAGCACAACATGCGTCGAAAATGTGTATGCTGGCCACGGCGACCAACAGA